TATGCCTTGTTTTTATTCCCGCTACAGGTCTTGAGCCGGACTTGCCTGTTGCTGACTCCACACCGCGGCCCAACACCCTGGATGACCGAGCCCTGACCAAGGCGATGGATTTGCTCATGCAGCAGCCTTTTCCGTCTGGGCGGGGGGAGAGAGAGGGGGACCTCGGGGGGGAGAGAGGGAGGGGCGGAGGGACTCGCGTCTTTTTGTCGGCACGTACGCTGGTGGAAAGTGAATGAGTGCGGGGAGGAGGCTTGGCTTGTACATACCGCAAGTTAATCACTGTGTTGCCCGTGTCCGTGCTTCGTTTGGAGCAATAATGTAGATACTTGATGGAGCCACGCGATAGGCTTTTGCAGACAAGGGAACCTATCGTGGGTGCTCTCAAATACGTCTTCCTCTTTCTCAACTATGTCCCGCGCGACGGCTCTGTGCGCGAAAACTTCTCGGAAGAAGCAGCCTGTAACCATACGCGTTTTGAAAGCAAAAAAGGTTGAATAAGCGAGAACAGCTAAGCGGGCAGCAATTCTTTTCTTAGGATTCTCCTCTTTTCTAGATTTCGTCGGCCTTGCCGATCAATCCCTCCCTGCGAAAATGCCATGTCTGCTCATATTTATTATTCCAATTCCAAATTTTTGCTTTTCAATTTGCTGTATTCTAGCCTTGTCTTCCATTTTAAGTTTATGTCCTGCTTGCTGTTTTTATTTGGTATGACTGACATCCAAGTTCTACTTCGCCAACGCAAGATCCGCGTCCTCAGTCATAGGGGCTCCACCCTTATGATCCGTGGCCATCTCTCGTCGTGTGGCGTGTCGTGTCGGCGGTGTCCATCGGGAGCTGCAACCCTTCTCTTTCCCGCTCCCATGGTCCCTCTTGCATTCATGTGTACTATCTCCTGAATTCGAATTGTTTATCTAGCTCCTTCTCTTTTGTCGTCTCTTTTTCAAGGCTCCTCTGCATCTCCCTCAGCCTGTCTTCTCATATTGCCTAATTTTCTGAGCATTTCTTTTTATTTTGTGCCTGTGTCGTCATTCATTCCGCCCATGGAACCTGCTGACTTCTCGCCCATGCGCATTCTCCTCCCTCTGGCCCCTCTTCCCTCGAGCATTCCCAGAGCCGTCGCCTTAATTCTCATCCCCCGCCCCGCTTTCTCCGGACTTGGTCTCGGTCACCGGAGGCCAGAAGTCGAAGGGATCGATATCATCTGCAACCAAGGTAGACGGAATGCCCGACCACCCGGAGGACGGACGTCCACTTGCCGAGGAGGGAGCAGAGGGGCGGGACGGAGGGCGAGTGTAGGAGGTGGGGGGTCGGGGTCGGGAAGAAGGAGGGCGAGAGTAGGATGTGGGGGGTCGGGGACGGG